TTTTGTGTTTTGAAACGGTTGTTAATTTTCCAAATGCATAACGAAGAGAAAATAAAGAAGGAATATTTCTCTCAATTTCATCTCCTTTTTTGGTGGTTATACATAGCTATTGAGAATATTGTTTAAGGGGACCGAGAGAAGTACCATGTTCGCAACGATGAGATAAAGACGACCTCTGACTCGAAATTCGCTGATTGGTTGGTACAAGAAGTTGAGTTGAACGATTGGTTTCAATTGAACGTTCATTAATCTACTATCATCTCTTTGTGAATGCATTCAAGTTAAAAATAGCTGGGAAACCGTTTACTCTCAAAGTAAGATTATGTATATAAGCTATTAAACAGAAGTCTATACGGAGGATCTTTGGTAGGGGTTCCTATTTCAAAATGTGTAGTCTTACGGAGAATAACATTCGTGAGCTTTACACACTCCCTGACCTATGATGTATTATATATTCTCGATCATAATAGGAATCAATGTTTCTGATATAATAAGAACACATTCTGTAGATTGACTATCAGATCCCTACACCGTGATGCCACAGTCAAGAACATCAAGTTAGCAAGTGGTATAAATATTATACTGAGTGCAATAGGGCTCATTTATTTTCAAATTTTACATTGATTTTCCAGTTCTCGCAGAAGATGTAACTCCAGTTCGACCGATGGATCATGGAAAAGAAATATACATACCACCAAAGGTTATCTAGTTATCGACTTATTTCGCATACTATCTGAATTAAGTCAATGAATACGGGATGCCTATATTTCATACAATCAATTATTCAGATAGTCGATAGTGGTAACAACTTTGATAATTAGACCGTAGAAAACAAGTGTGCAAACTTAGTCTCATAATTTGCGATCCAGTATTTATAGTCGGACAAAAATAACCCAAAGAGAGCGGTGAATTTGTTGATTAATAAATACTTACGCTCAGATTAAAACAATCAAGGTTTATAAGCGATTAACGGACACGGTCAAAATGTAACTCAAGAAGCATGAATAAATTAGTCCGTCCAGAAGCTAGAATAACCCATGTGAGTTTGACATAGAACTAAACATTACAAGGTCTCTCTGTTCGAAACAACGTATCGATTTTTAGAAATACATTTGCTTTCGAAATTAATACTGAAGAGGTATACGATTGACATTTCCATGTGGCAAGAAAATTGTTCTTTTTCTGATAGGGTACAGTGATATATCAGAAGTGAATGTGACGAGTCTCATATATAGGTAAAAAAATACATGAGTATCGTATAGACACATATAAAAGAATTGTTCAAACGATATGGTAACGCAGACCAAACCAACATATATGGACAAGATTTTGTAAAATGCTCATCGCAAATTTGTTCTAAATGAAAGCATAGCAAAGGTATTGTAAAGAGCTGATGCTAGTGTCCTGAAATCGGGTAGTAAATATTCGCTGAAAGAGCTGTTACTTTAATTTTCTTTCTATAATAATGCTTGTTTAATTGATCATTCATAATGTAAAAATATCCTTGGGTATCGAAATCGCTAAATTTTGCGAGGTATTTTTCACTAGTAATGGATGGTAAGTGTCAAACTTTTAAGGCATCTTGTCAACAAGAGATAAAAAAATCTTTTTATACTATTGTTGAATTGAAACTTTAGAATACTTCGTTTTGTGGCCGTTTTCACGAACGTGAATTTTATTGCCAAGTCTGTCCTTATTTATTAGGATGAAATTGATCTGAATAACGTTTCTGACTACCCATAAGCTTGCTAATCATTTCCATCTAAATACGAAGAAAATTGTAAACCATATCGGTGCACTTTCAAATATATACTTGAGATAAATGTTTTATTGATGGATTTTTTTATGGGAACTCAAACTACCGAATACGACACGGTCGAAACCTTATACTACCACCTTCTTGTGTTGATCATTAAGTTATCTTAATCTCACGTTGATATTGTTCCTGGTTATCGTCAGTCGCTTCCGTTAGGATCAAGTGCATTTTATGAGTGTTTGTTGGCTCACCTTTACTCTTTTAGGTAATATCACTTACTGCCCATAATGTGATGTGTTCTGTTTATAAGGACAAATATAAGTAGTATGTATAGAGAACTGGATGTAGGATTCTTATTGAGAGAAGAGGAAATTGAGACGAGAAAAAGTAGAAGCAACTGGTGCAGCAACAGGGACAGAACGACATAGTTAGTAAGAGAAAACTCAAGAATGTGCATTATTTTCATAGTCTACAAATACGGTCTGTGGTTTTGTATAATGCAGTATCGTGTTATTCATACTAACTGTTTATTTATGTACTTGATTGCTCGCTCTACACAAACCCTAAATGCAATACGTCCAGTTGTGATTAATTAGTTCAAATTGCACTAATCAGGGGATTCTTAAAAAATCAGATTGGATGCTTCTAATAATCATAAGTAGGCATAATGATTAGCTGTGAAAATTTTTCAGCTAGGAAAGCAATATAAATTTAATGGAACTCTCCACGAAATTGCGAAAAAGTCGTACGGGGACCATATAATTTTGACCGATAAGACCAATTTTTATAGGCCCAGAAACTTCGCGAATATCTAGCTAAGTGAACAGCTGTCTTTTATCCACTATTTGAAAATGTCTAAATACATTATATATTTACATATTATGTCATACAAATGGTAATATACGCTTAATTGTGATTGGTCGCTACGTAGACTGCCAAAATTACAAACCAGAGTTGGGTCTATTTTCAGTCGTATTACACGTCAATTGTGGACGCGTCTAGCGAATATGGACATCTAATTGTTTGAAGGACTCTAGCTCTTGTTAAAAATATAAAGCAATACCAATATTGAGATAATGAGGTCCTGTCAACAGGAATTAAATTCCACACATCCTTATAGTATCACTTACTCGAAATAACTTGATGTACTGGCGGATACTTTACAAGTAGTTAGCTATCGAGGCATTTCGGTGGACAACCAACTAAAAGTATAGGTCACAAATTATACACGGACGGCAAGATCACCTATGATTCAGTTTATGCTTTACAAATAGCCAGTAAATATCACTTGAAAATATATTTTACTCGACGTGATAAATGCAAAAAATATTCTTCATGATAACTGGAAAAATAAAACTAATAGAATGCTACGAAGACCCGTTAGCAGTGAATCCAGAGGAAATAGGGAGAAGACAAGCTTCTAAAACTGGATTCTCACCCGTTTCGTTCGAGAAAGCTACAGTAATCATTCGATAAACACTATATTAAGTAGGGGTGAAAATACAATTTAGTTTGATTGAAATGGGGCAGCGAATATACGGTAATTTTGGTAATAAGACACGTTAAAACAAACATCGGTGGTATTCTGTTGTCCATTCAAAGTGAACTGTGACTGGTCATTCAAGCATGTAAATGCCTCTGATGATATAGTTAGGTCCTAATCTACATCTTGTTTTATGTAGAAAGGCTGGGTCACTGAGTGTTTGTCAAATTAATAGTAAACACTAACGTATCAACATATTTACCAACAAACGTGAATAAAAATCTACCTATACACTGTTTGAGTATCTAGAACCTCTGTCAAACAAGTAAAGAATTGGAATGCATCTTTACCAACTAACTTCTTTTTATTCATTCCCCTAAAAAATTCTTGTAAATAATCTTGAGGTGTGATAATAGAAATGCTAAAGTATACAACAATGGATGATTTCTTAAAACAAAAGAGAATTGCAAGGAGGTCTTGGATGAAATGCATTACATGTTAATTACTATTGTTCCTGCAATTTTTTATAGATAATGACAGAAGTACTAATGTCATAACACAGATAACTGGAGAAAAAACCGTGCCGTAAGTAAAATTACTTTGGTTTATAAAAACTAATTTTCGGAAAAGCAATAATTTGAAAGCAAAAATACAAAAATCAAAAACTAATTTATAAGTGGTATCTAAGATTACAGATAACCACGGCGGAGGAGGTAGATAATCGGGACGAAATCCATGATGACGGAGATTTCGACGTACAACCTAAGGGAAAGAAAAATCCAAATTACTTAGTGTTTACAAGAGGAAACATGAGCACATGTAAAAAAGTATGGTTGGTCTGAACTCACTTTGTGATAATGTATACGTCTGAAAAATATCACAAGATTAAAATAAGAGACAAGGGCATCGGCACACCATAACGGCAAGAAAATCCACCATAGTACTATCTCCTTTTGGTTTGTACACAGTAGTATATCCAAGAATTTTTCATCCCAAAGAACAGCTATACTTAGGCTGAAAATAATTCCCACTATGTGAATTGACAACTCAAATGGAGTGATATGGAGCCAATTTACCAATTCATTGAGAGATATAGTCATTCGATGAGTTTAAGGGTTGGATGAATGTTGACAGGTCTTAATTAAGGTGGCATTAAAAACCTATGAATAAACATTAGTAAATATTGGAAATTGTAACAATGAAAAAACGAATGAGGACAACAAAGCTAGCAAATCCACTTTTTATGCGGGATCTTTTATCAACCTTCATTTTTGACAGGATTTTAAACGTTACTATCTTTGTATTACATATGAACCATGCAAACTCAAGACGTATAAAGTACCGTTCGTTAAGAACCAATGCTCAGTCGGTGCTATAAAATATATTATTCTAAACAAACAATATTTAGTATTATTATTTAGTGTGTGGAGTTTATTTAAGGTTTATATTACGACGAAAGACTAATTCAATCCTTCGAAATTCCATGGAATAATACAGTAATCCAGGGATGCGTTTACATTAACACTGTCATGGATTTGTAAATTGCTTACTAGTATTATACATCAAGTATTCTAGAATAATCATTTAATTAAATTCTGTCTAAACAGCCAACATAACTAATTAGGTTCATGCTGTGACCTTAAATTCCTTTCATCGTAAATTAATTTTAAAAGTACCTTAGGTACACGGTTTAGAGAAGAGTAAAGCAGACAAGCAATTCAATTTCGACAGAACAACATTGTAATAAGTATGTGATCATTTCTTGTAATACAATACAGGCTATGGAAAGGGGATTTTGTACAGAATCATTTAAATGAAAATGGAATATGTAGTGAATTATTCAATTGGATAAATTAGTTCATCATCCCTTGAGTTCGGTAGATTAGGTAATGCACAGTGTTCACTAGTATCATCATCATTATTAGCACCAATGTTAGATTGTATGTTAGTCTTGTCGTAACTGCAGTTTGTTTGTTGATCAGTAGCACCGTCGGTATCAGGTATAGAACTCGAAACTTCCTCGTCATCAGACAATTCGATGAAAATCCCCTGTTCACATTGTGGTGAGCTACTGAGTTTTAGTGATCCTAGTGGAGGTATAAAACTATCTGGATGAAGTTCTTCCATATCAGGACAAATTATTTTATCTGCAGGTGTTTGACTATTATCGTCTTCATGCCGACTATCACCGGTGTTATCAATATCATCATCGTCGCATAAATTTACTTCTGTTTTTTCCCCAACAGTTTTTGGTAAATGACATGAACGACCACTGTTAGTAATACCAATATTATTTGTATTTCCATTTGATATTATTTTTAATTTTTCTTTTGCATTGGAATCATCGTCTCCAGTGAATGTTACTGAAGCAGGCATACCAGGAAGATCTGCGTACATATCTTCTAATAATTCTTGTAGATTTTGTACTACTGTAATTAAAAAACAATAACAGTAGTTGTAGTTGATCGATTACAATTAATTCAACATTCTGGAATGTTAGCGAACAGACATGATACAATAAGAAAGGAGAACGGAGGAGTAGTTGTTTCGAAAAAATAATTATAATAAGGTCATCTAAGTGAACCCATACAATAATTTACTGGATTTGCGCAAACGAAATAAAGCGATTCTACGTGGTAAAGTTAAACAGAAAAAACCGTAGTGATATGAAAATGCTACACAATAAATATATACAAGAAGTTAGAAACCTAAGGTCATGCCAGCGAAAAGTAATGTTGGAGGAGTGAAAACGTATAGAAATGTTAACTATGGGATTATCGTTCTATTCAATGTGACTAAATGATATCTCAGATTATTACATAAACATGAACTTGGTTTTCATAGTTCTTTGGAAAACGGAAAAAAACGTTACAGAAAGCAGAACTCAAACTTGTCTTTATGTACAGATGAAATAAGTTCCGATTTTAGCTTTTATAGAGTTACTTCCGGTCCCAAGCCCGGGTAAAGTAGGAGGGTTAGGCATGGAGTCAGGAACCCGATTCCGTAGAAAACAACCTTGCCAAAAAAACGCTAGTCAAAATAAACTATTGAAACATTGCCCTCAGGGTTGAAGGAATTTCATTCAGGAAAATTATGATGCCTAATAGTGAAAGCCGAGATTCTCCGGAAGGCATGAAGACAATACCTCTTTTAACAACCAGAACAGCAATTAATATAGGTACATGGAATGTCCGGACAATGTGCGAGACTGAGAGGACCAATCAAAAGGCTGCAAAAACGAGGAGATACAACTTGATGATGCCCGGATTAGGCGAAACCCGGTGGATCCAAGCTGGACAAAAAAGTTTACGTTCCAGAGAGATGCTGTTTCATTCTGATCACAAAGAAGAAATTGTTCCACACACTCAGGGAGCTGCTCTGATGCTAGTCAAGGAAGAACGAAATGTACTTAAAGAATGGGAATCTCATGAAAGCAGGATCATCAAAGCATCTTTCAAAACAAAGAAGGAGGGAATTACAATGAATGTTATCCAATGTTATGCGCCCACCAGTGATAGCAGTGATGACGATAAAGATCAGTTCTACGAGACTTCAGTCAATGATAGCGAAGTGCCCAAGAAAAGATCTCACCATCCTGATGGAAAACCTAGACGTCAAATTCGGAATGGACAACACTAGGTATCAAGATAACATGGGACGACATGGACTAACTGAGAGAAAGGAATGAGAATGGGTAGAGATTCGCAAATTTATGTACATTTAACAAAGTGTTTATAGGAAGCACTATATTCTTTCACAAACACATACACAAAGCTACAGGGATCACATCGGATCACAAAAGAAATCTAGATCGATCATCAGAAGGTTAATGAGAGATGTGAGAACCAGGAGAGGAGCTGACATAGCTTCAAATCACCACCTAGTGGTTGACAAGATGAAGTTGAAGCTAAAGAAGCATTGGACAACTGGACAAACAGCATTACAAAGGCTCAATACAGCCTTCTTTAAAGATACTGACAAACTCAACGAATTCAGGATAACTCTCAACAACAGGCTTCAAGTCTTACAAGATATACTCAAAGAAGAAGAAACTACTATGGAGGACAACAGGAAAGCGATCAAAGAAGTACTAACTTCAACGTGTCAGGAGGTACTGAACAGCAATAAGCATCATTATAAGGAATGGATCTCTATCGAAACCCTAGACAACAATTAACAAAAGCCCAACAACAACAGTGAAAGTCAAGGCAAAAGTTGAATATACAGAAGCAAACAAGCAAGTAAAGAAGAGCATTAGAGCCGACGAGCAGAAATATGTGGAAAAATCTGAAAGAGAAGGAAATAGTGGACAACTATATGACTATAGGAAGCCCATTCAACTACTTTATTATCTGTCTACTCTCTGGAATTTAGACATTTAATCCACTATGTAAAATTATGTGTGAGTCCGATTGAGCGCATATCTGCACATCAATATTTAATCTATCCTCCCATTGGTTGTAACACACCTGCTTCGGTTTGGGCACCCGAGCAGTATCACAGCCCTTACACAAATCAATTGAGATTCGTGTGGCGCATATGTACTTGGTGCCTCCTTGTACCAATACCTATGTGTTAAATAAATAAATAAATAAAATGTAACACACAGACAATCAATAATTTATTCACAGTCGATTAACGCTCATAAATATACATGGACTTTTAACACTCACTCATAGGTTTCCCTGTGTGCTCACTTTCTTCGCGCTTGCGGATCTTTACTAATCATTAACAATAAACTGTCTCGACAACTGGTGTTCGGTTTTTTATATAATCTCGAGTAAATGCAAAATTCTACTAGGACATTTAGTCTGCTTAAATACTCAGTTAACGGGATACTATTTATTGCAATCAGATATAGAGGAATTAACTGCAGATTTGGTGACCCGAAATTAGAGCACACATTTCTCTACAAAGTCTGCTGCATATTCTCCAATCATATCACAACCAATTTCACATTGGAATTACTATTACAATTATTAACAATTCATTGACAGTCATAATCAATTCACTCATAACATTGTTCATCTGGAATTATTACTGTATATTCGTATATTTGAACCCAAAGTAACAGTTTCTCAGTGAGTCTCATATATACATTTCTTGTTGTTATTTCCTCATACTGTATATTTCAATCCTCAGCTTTTTATTATTGCAATTGTTATTATTTCTCCGTATCATTTCACTTGATAGTTCACCAAGTCTTTCATCTAAGTCTATTTCCGTGGACATTATCTCTGTACCTTTACCTGTCTTCAACAATCGAAAGGCTGAACTCTCGTTTGCACGCTTAGAAAGCTTTTTCGTTGCAAACAAAATCACAAGTCAGAGCATGAAATTTAGTTACGCAAGCTCGTTGCTGCTGGAAAACGTTATTAACAAGTGCCTGATGTCAATTTTAAGCCGGATCCAGACTCACCATACGATTGTCTAAAATGAGAGATCATTCGTGTTACATCTCTCACCGACCGGCAGACATACTAGAAAGAAGGATACCTCATCAAGATGCCAAAGAAAGGGAATCTCAGCAAATGTGAGAACGACAGAGGCATCACACTACTATCAGTAACAGGAAAAAATTTCAACAGTGTTGCTGAATCGGATGAAAGATTCACTGGACGTTCAGCTTCGAGATCAACAGGTTGGATTCCGTAATGACCGGTCGAGCACAGACCAAATTACCACACTATGGATCATCGTTGAACGATCAATTGAATGAGAATCGTCGCTATACATCAACTTCCTTTATTACAAGAAAGCTTTGACAGTGTGGGTGAGATGACCTTTTGGTACATTCTTCGACACTATGGATTACCTGAGAGAATCGTCAACATCATCCGGAATTCACACGATGACCTACACTTCAAAGTCGTGTTTGGAGGCCAGCTGACAGATGGATTCCAAATAAGGACCGGACTCAGATAAGGCTGCTTAGTCTACCCCTTTCCCTATCTACTGAAAGTTGACTGGATTATGAGGACCTCGAGATCCGAGGGAAAGCATAAAATACAACGCACTGTTTGGGTGCTACTAGACGATTTGGGCTTTGCAGATGACCTGGTTCTTCTATCCTATACACACAAACAGATGAAGGTCAAGACAACCAGTGTAGCGGAAGCATCTGCATCAGTAGGCCTCAACATACACAAAGGAAAAAGCAAGATCCTCAAATACAACACAGAGGACACCGACCTAACCACACTTGATGGAGAAGCTCTGGCGTAGGTGTAAAGTTCCTCGTACTTAAGAGGCGTCATCGATAAAGAAAGAGGACCTGATGCAGACGTAAAGGCGATCATTGGTAAAGCAAAGACACCATTCCTACAGTTGAAGAACATATGAAACTCAAAAGAACTTTTAACCAATATCAAAGTCAGGATCTTCAATACGAATGTCGAGACAGTTCTATTGTATGGAGCTGAAACTTAGAGAACTACTACAACCATCACCAAAAACGTACAAGTATTTATAAATAATCATCTACGTAATATACTCAATATCCGTCGGCTGGATGCCATCAGAAACATCCTACTGTGGTAGAAAACAGACCAACTTCCAGCTGAGGGGCAAATTAGGAAAAATAGTTGGAAGTGGATAGAACAAATGTTGAGGAAATCATCAAACTGCAAAACGAAGGAAGCGCTAACTTGGAATCCTGATGGGAAACGGAAAAGAGAAAGGCCAAAGAACACTGCGTCGGGAATTGGAAGCAGGTATCAAAAGGATGAATAGCAACTGAAAAAGATTGATCAGAACAGTGTTGAATGGAGAATGCTTGTGAGCGGCTTATGCTCCTCTATGATGTGCAACAGGCGTAAATAAGTAAGGATGAACTTAATCTGCTTATTCCACCAAAAATTTAATTATAGCCTCAGCAACGCTATTTTAATGATATTATCCTATACGAGTAACGGTGCAAAATCACTAATAATCACATAACCTACAGACATTTTGAAGCTTATCAATAATATATATCGTAGAGAAGGATAAGTTTACTATGAACAGAATAGTAGTAAAAGTTGTAACTAACATATATTTTAGATTGATTTACTCGATTTTAAAGTTAATTATTCTAGGGAATCGAGAAAGCATTCTAATTGGACATCGGTTTCCAGGAATACATTTATAAATCAAAGCAACAAGTCTTACTAACGAACGACTTGGAGCGTCATAGGAAACATAAACATCGTTTCAACATTCCCTAGCAATATATTAAATAAAATATGAATAATGTAATAAGCGTAACATATATGCTTATTTATGTGTGATATGTTGATGAATAATAAGTAAACAAAAGACCACTTTTCTTTGCTCATAACATCGAGCAGTTATAGACAGACCTGTACGTGTAGCTTCTCTTGCCCTTGGATCCTTAGGTAAAGCAATTCGTTTACGAGCTCCTGTTTGGATTAATTTATTAGACAGGCAAACAGCCAAATTTCTAGTACGAACTGGGTCCAGCTGATTTTGGTGTGTGGTACTACTAAGAGCAGCTTCAGCGACTTCGTACAACGTTTGTTCGACAATTAAAGCTTGTTCAAGCAATTTCAAGCGATCTAATAGGAATGCTTGAGCTTCAGTTGATTCAGAAGGAGTTTGACGAGAAGCGAATGATGTACCATGTGAACCTTCAAAAGTAAATTTATGTAAATAAATTATACATTTAAAACAGGAATTCTATTTAGTAAATATTTGCGCCCATGTAATGAATCTTACACAATGAAAAACCTTTTACATCATTAATAAGTAGTTCGAGAGTGATCATTAAAAAAAGCCTTCTCAACTTACGAAAAATGCACAACTATATTTATAAACAATGTACAGAAATGATACCTTGTTATAATGTAGATTAGTGTCAAAAGAAATGACTAGAAAAGTCAAAGATAAAATAGTGAAATCAGCTGACAGTTGAGAAATGTAAGGTGGTTAACCACCTGATGAAAATAATAAAAATGGTAAAGCATAACAACCACGTCTGAATAACGTATTATCAGCCCCCGAATGCCCTGGTACCGCCGAGAGTGGGGAGAGTCCGCTCTCAATCTCGAAATGCTCTCACATGGCCACGCGTATATAGCCTGTGCCAGGGAAGTCCTACTCACTGCCTTCTCGTGGCGGGGGTGTTGTTTACGAAAATAAGAGGACGAAAAGCGAATGTCCGGCGCTTTAACCGGATCCGAAACCAATGGTGCACATGGACTCCAGTATCCTGCGGGAATAAATGATGTATGAACTAATCGTTGGTTACCGGCTACCATGGGACTGCATCTCCTTACGATGCTCCACTACCTTGTGGATCAGACCTTTAGGTCGAAGGCTCGGGGTGTGTCCCCCTAAGAAAAACACCTGCTTCGGTTTGGGCACCCGGGCAGTATCAAAGCCCTCACACATATCAAATGAGATCTGTGTGGCGCGTATGTATTTGGTGCAACCTTGTACTAATATCTCTGTGTTAAAATAAAATAAAAAAAACGTATTATCACGTATGTAGAATAATAAGTGTAAAGATCGTGTGTTAAGACGGGAGAGTGAACATATTAGTTTTCAATAAAGAGTTGAGGATTTAATTGGTGAACTAATAAAACAGGTGTTGATGTGCACATCCTAGATACCCGGTTACATGTGATAATCACGTTATTATTTGAAAAAATGAAGAGTTACAAAGTGCAGAAGAATGAGATATGAGCGACAGTAACAACGGGTGAAGAACTAAGTTATTTATGATCAGCATAAAATAAAAAGATTGGAGGATTTTCAAGAGAATAACACTTGTTATGTGAGAGATTACCATCAAACGTCAATAACCCATTTACAATCACAAATATTTTGATAGAACTAGTGATAAATCAGACTTTCAGTAGAGACATTGATATTATTTGAGTATACACGTTTATTTAACTAAGACGTCTGAAATGAGAAGAAATGATTCTTCTATGATTATTGTTTTACGATATTTAGAAGAAAAAGCAATAAATAACTACCAAAATAAAAGTACACCCAACACTTACTTAAATCAGCATTCATAAGCTTATGCATACCCTTTAGAACTCCTGACAATCCAAAATTAAGAATACGAAAACGTGGATCAGCTAATATATCAGCCCATCGAGAATAGCCATGAACAAGTATGCCAGCAAGTAGCCAGTAATCATGACGTGAATGCCATATTCTCTGAGTTTTTATTATTAACTCTGAATTTCTCGCTATTTCTGAATGAGATTGAATTGTTTGACAAATATTATTGATCTTTGCACATTCTTCATTCCACACAGAACGTAATAACGTTAAACCACCTTCGTGTATAGCGAATTTGAAAGTTGGACTTTGAAGCTTTAAAAGAAATTGAAGGGAGCATACAAATCATTACAGAATGTAATTATTTCTTACATATTTGCTTATGACTAATTTGCAAGAAAATATATACGTTATTTCACAAGAAATTGATGGACAGTATTGCGGAGATAGATGATATGACAGAAAAAGAATTACGAAGAACTGATATCAACTGTAGAACTACTTATTTCTAAATGTTCTGACCTCTCAATACTCTCCGGTGTTAATAACTGAGTTTTACAACTTTGAGGTAACAACTGACAATCCCTTTTAGTAGTCAGTATGGATTGATTTATGATGTAATTGACTTACCATTTCCAACGGTTATCATCAAATATTTATTCTCGATTTCAACGAAATCATCAGTTAAAGACACAACTTCTCTTTACAACATTGGATTACTATCAGTTTCTATATAACTCAATCAAATTAAATACTAGGTTGAACTACAGAAGAAGAAGTGATTTTAATTGGTAGCTTGCACATAGTGCTGAGTTTTGAACCGAAATGTCGCTAAATATGATACCTAGTTACCATGGGAAAAATACTCTTCCTTCCTAGACGTACAACCAGCTGTTCAATTTTGCCTGTGGACTCGATTATTAAACTTGTATAATATTCAAGAAAAAATACCAGCATCCAGATAATAGGACAATGAGACTAACATCATTAGAAATACTTGTCGGTCCATTGATATCTTCATATTGTAATACTTTATTTCTAATCAGGGCCATAACTGCAATACGTGAAAGCACCGCAGGAACACATAAATGTTCTTTAGGTAAACCATCGGACCAACTAAATACAAAATAAATAAAAAAAAACAGTAAATGAAGTAGAAAGAAAATCTAAAACGATGCGTCAATTCTGAACTACGGATGTGTGACATTAGAAAGTTGAGAAGGGAATACCAGAAAAATCGCACATTGACAGTTATAAGATCTTTACTGTTTTAGAATTCTGAATCAAAATTTGTGCAACAAATTAGTGTTGCATTCACAAATAAACACTTGTTTTTAGAGAATTCATATTTTGTCTTCGATGGAAAAACCCAACTGAGAAAGTAAAACTTCATTTTGTATGAAGTTTAATAGAACGTTCTTAATGCAGTTAAATGGGACGAGCGAATATCAAGCCTCAATCAGCCTTCAATTAATGGTCGGTAATAAAACGATTGTCGAGAATATTTTAGACTTTTTTTTCCAAGGTATTTACTAATTTTTCTAGCTGTACGAAATGTTTTATCCATGGCGAATATTGCTGATGAGTATAAATACTAGCTAGCTTAAGTTACTGGCTATAAATTCAGCAGAGTGACCACGAGTTTTGCAAAGTGATACACAATTACTTGTATCCTTTTTCATCATAAGAAAAAGAAATGAAGAATAGAGATTTATGAATGCCCAATAAACAACTATCCAAATAATTTACAAAATGAACAAACACCAGAATGCCTACCTTTCTTCAGATTCATCCAATCCATTCGGGTCATCGTATAAATGTTTCATGTATAGACATACGTAACCAAACAATTGAAATTGAGATTTATAATATAAGGCTGGCGGAAGCCAGTCTTGAGGTGGGACAATACCAGGTGGTGGAAGACCGAACCTGAAAATTGTAAATAAAATGTCAAGAAAGTAGCATTGAAGAATCTCGATGAGTCCAATTTCGAAAACAAGTATTCAATCAGGGTTTCTATCTCGCAAGTAGGCTAATGGAATTGAAGAATACAGAAGTAAAATTAGGATTCATAGCTTCGCATAAATAATCATTTGGGGATAAATTTGGTGATAATCAGTCATGTTCGGAATACTTTTAAAGTTTAGTTATGGCAACAACCTTGAGCGGCTGCTAAAATAATTTAGAACAGTTGCTCATTGTACTTAGCTTATAGGAAAATATTTGATATGAATCCTTTGCGATACGAAATGGAGAAAGTTACAAATTATATGCAGTGTTTACATGACATTAGTTATTGGTTCACCTTTCATGATATCAGCGAATAATTGATAGGGACACTCATCCATATTATTTTAATTAGTCCCACCATGAGAACCCTTTATACTGTGGAAAACAGTCTTTTAAAGGATCCTGTACAAATCCTATGTCGTTAGTGAACCACAACTTAGTGACTAAGTTTATAATACCAAGGAGAGTTGTATGACTGATCATCATTAGTGTAACTGGTATTTTCAAAGTAAAAACAATTAAGAATTACAGGAACAATTTATAGAACTTTCCGATATGGGACCTATGAAAAACGCTCTGTGTGACTGATTTCTTCGTTAAAACATTAAGTCGAAATATCACTCCGTCTGACGTCTATTTGGCTTCTTTAACTGAAATCTTCTTGTCAACGATCATAGATTAGCGTTTCTCTCAGTAATTCAATATGTTATAAATAGCTTATAATGTTTTCCATATCAAAATTACACATGATGCAATTAATGGTTAGCATTCTCTTTTGATGTATGGACCTTGATATAGCAATTTCGATTATTAGTTCACCACTATAATTAAGCTCTACTATATCCTCGATGGACAAGATGTATTTTGTCGCATCGACATATACGACATCCTAGCACAGTCCATCCATTATTCGCTGAAAAGTCATCAGTAAGAACTAGGCCTTTCTTATAGGAGCTAGATTTATAATTCCCTTAAAATTCTCCACATGGTTCATTTACGCATGCGAATGAATGGTTTAGATCGTATTACATTGTTTCAGACACATGATAGTGAAAAATGTCAAAAAAGAAATACAGAATCAGTAGTTCCCGTTATCAAACACTGAGTTACTAATAGCTATATGTTCTTTGTTTTTAAACAATAGTTTAGGATCCAATTTTACCATCGTATAGCACGAAAATCATTCAGCATAAAAATACACTTTGCAGCGTATACAAATTGTTTTTAGCAAATGAAACACAACATTTCAGAGATTCATTTGATTATCAGTAAACATATAAAATTTAAAAGTATTGCCAATCACTACAGCATAATTAATAAATCTCTTTATACAAAAATGAAATAAACTATAGTTTAGATGTTCTACCTTTATACAGAAGTAATAATAATAATAATAATTTAAATGAGTTCTTTAAGTTCTTTATTCATGAAAACTGTCAACATAACTCTGAAGACTTTTAGACGATTCACGGATATTTCTTCCAACTCCATGATTAGTTGATAAGCTCATTTGAACCTTAACCAAATAGCTTTCTGTTGGTCACTTCAATCTTTATGATACAAGTGATTTCTTAGTGGGAATGATATCCAGGTATTCACGTAAGATACTGTATCAAACTTCAAAACTTGTCACTAAAAATGTTGTCTGCAGAAAACAATAGTGGGAAAACTAGGTGACGCGAAAATCATAACCAATAAATGGATTATCTGGGGCTTATTGTAATTTAATAACAATAACAAAAAGGTTGTTATTCTGGTCATCAAGTTCAAATATTGCGTTACAAGTAATAAGGAGATTACTGGTAGAAAATAGAAAAATATCCTAATGCAATGATGAATCTAACGAATGAATATTATGAAAATGAAGAATAAAAGTTGAATGATTCACTAGATATGATATATTTATTTTATTTTATTTATGGCTTTATTCAATATTAAATTTTGGTACAATATAGAATTATCAGCACAAAAATATTTCAACAAGTTTCTTTTACAGAAAAAAATGACGGTTAACTCTAACAACCTGTTCGTCACAGAGTATATTTGCTAGGTAAGGTATTATAGAACTTTTACACCATTGCTTGCATGCATGGATTTTAATGTAATTTCGTCTCGTTCTACCAGAAGATATACAAGGAGAAAGATATGAGTGAAGGGGATGGTTAGTATCTGATAAAACAACACCTGCCAGGAGTTTGCATGACTTTAGATGTCTATCTACAACCATATTAATTATGGTCTCGAAAGATTCACCACATACCTTGCTAACTGCCTTTAGCACTCTCCGCAGTACAGCAAAGTCTTTTCTCAAAAGCCCGGGAAAGAATAATTTAGAACAGTAAAGAATAAAAGGTAATATGCAAGAATTGAAAAATTGCAGGAGTAAATGACGAGCGATCCCAAGAGCATGCAAACTCTTTATGTAGTAAGTCAGACGGAAAACCTTCTTTGATAACAATGAAACGTGAGAAGACCAAGGGAGATCAGAGGAAAAGGTAACACCGAGATAATTGACCGTCGACACTGTGTTTATCAATGAGTCGCCAACGACACAAGCATCATGGGATCTCAAAATGGTGTTTAAATGCCGATCATGTCTCATGCTAAAGTTAACAGCTTGACATTTAGACGGATTAAGTATGAGACCATTAACAACAGACCAACGATCAATATGAGATAAAAGCTCATTCATTTCCATAGGATGTAAAGAGGAAGAGATAGACATACAAACAGTGAGATCATCTGCATATTCCAGTCAGTCAGTCACAACGTGGAACTTCGTACGTACGTACATCATATTCCACAAAAGTTTACTGTGGAAGATGGCAGATCATGTAGAAAAAAAGAGAAAAGAAGAGGTGGAAGAACAGCTCCTTGTGATACACCTTCATAAGACACTAGAGACTCTGAACACTTTCCTCCAAACACCGTGCACTGTTCCCTTCCAGAGAGAGAGGAACATAGCCAGTTGGTTATCCAGCTGTCAGTGTTGACGCTGATTAACTTGTTAAGTAAACGTTGTCTTGATATAGAATCAAAAGCAGAAGTATAGTCCAGGAAAGCGCATCGAACATACTTCTTACCCTTTTCTAGGTTGAACACTATATTGTGATGTAGTACAGCAACGACATCTAAGGTGCTTCATTTGCATCTGTAGGCAAACTGATACTGGTCAATGTGCTCTTTTATCGCAGGCTGAAGTGAAAGTGTCATTAATTTTTCCATTGTTTTGAGAAAGGGTGAAGTTATTGCAATGGTTCTGAATTTCACATTCTTATCACCAGATGCCCCCAAATGCCCTGGTATGGCCGAGAGCGGGGAGGGTTCGCCCACCCTCTCGAAATACTCTCACACGGCCACGCGTATACAGCCTCTGCCAGGGAAGTCCTACTCACTGCCTTCTCGTGGCGGGGGTGTTGTTTACGAAAATGAGAGGACGAAAAGCGAACGTCCGGCGCTATAACCGGATCCCAATTCTATGGTGCACATGGGCTCCAGTATCCTGCGGGAACAAATGGCGTATGAAACAACTTTTGGTCACCGGCTTCCATGGGACTGCATCTCCTCACGATGCTCCACTGCCTTGCGGACTAGACCTTTAGGTCAAAGGCTCGGGGTGTGGCCCCCTAAGAAAACCACCTGCTTCGGTCTGGGCACCCGGGCAGTATCCCAGCCCACTCACTAAAACTATGATGAACTATATGCTTATAGAAAGTATTCGTTTCTCTCCAACTAACATTGAAATGACTGGTATTATTATTATTATTACTATTATTACTATTATTATTATTGTTATTATTATTATTATTTACTACGTCATTTATTCACCCTCTCTTATACCTACTTTTTGTATCCGCTTCGACTCAGACAGCAGCTCGCCTTTGGTGAAAATTCAGCTTTATCTAAACGTTCTAGAGTCACTGCCTGGTTGAAAATTGTATGTTACTACCGAATACGAGTACTGAAGCAGTTTTTCTGAAACCACGTGCACCATTCAAACTGGCTGCCTTCAACGTTCGCACACTTATGCAGGTCGGACAACAGATAGGGCTGGCTATGTCTTTGGAAAGTCCTAATATTGATGTGTGTTGTCTATCCGAGACCCGTATTCAAGACTCTGGTGAAGTACTACAAGTTCGCTCTCCATCTGTCACTTCAAAAAGCTTGTTTTATGTGCGTTTATCCGGGGACCCTGTGGCATCTTCGTCTGGTCTTGCTGGCGTTGGTGTCGCACTAAGCGCAAGAGCTCAGGCAGCACTAGTCGACTGGATCCCTATTAACAGTCGGTTATGTGCTGTTAGATTAGAAAGTTCCATCAAAGTGAGAAGAAATCGGCGTGAGAAACGATGTCTTTTCGTCATCTCCGCCTATGCCCCGACAGATTGCAGCCCGGATGCAATCAAGGACGAGTTCTACCATCAGCTAACTGTTCTTCTCCAGAAAGTGCGTTCGACAGATATTGTAGTACTAGCTGGAGACTTGAATGCTCAGGTCGGGCGTCTAGGCACAGAAGAGAGTCGTTTAGGTGGCCGATGGGGACTCGTTGGTCGCAGGACAGATAACGGGGAACGTCTACTGCAACTATGCACAGACCACAACCTGTTTCTGGCTAGCACTAACTTTCGGCACAGTCATCGCCGATGTGCCACCTGGCGTCCCCCTTCTGCATCTCAAGCCTGGACTCAGATTGATCACATCGCGATCAGCTACCGCTGGCGCGGTTGTGTACAAGACTGCCGCTCCTTTTGGAGTACCTATCTGGAATCTGATCATGCTCTGGTCTGCGCCAATCTTACCTTACTTTTCAGTGGACAACGAAGTGACCGCCACCAAAGGATTGATGTTAGCAAGCTGGCTGCAACTTCTGTTGCTAGTAAGTACCGAACCGAGCTAGCTTCTAGGCTAGCTACCATTCCACC